GATCGTCCCTCAGGATGGCGACGAAAGGTCGATCCGGAAAGTTGGGTCGAGTGAACTGAGGGGCGGCGGCCACGGCGGCCATCAGGCAGGACAATACCAGCTGAAATACATGCAGAGGAGCCATACTAAAAACGCAAAAATGCACTTGCCCAGTGTCACATACCTGAAACACCTGTGTACACAGAACTTATAAACCTGTCCTAAGTGTCCCATGTACCACTTACAAGAACTAAATTCATTTTATATTCGGAAATGTTGAATACAATCCAAAGTAGACGACTGTTCAGTGTTTAATGATGGTTAATAATCGTGGCGGAAGTTGGAGATGCTAGACTAATTGTTAAAAGATGGCGTATGAATATTTCCAGGATAAAAGTTTAAGGAAAGATTTACAGATATACAAACGGCTTGTTGTATATTACAGGAAAACTGGTTTGACACCAGAAAGTTGATTATATATGTAGTGAATATTATTTTGATATATACACATATGTATATATATTTATGTATATTCCTGTTATATATGTATAAATATGTACTTACATATATACATATATAAATGTATGTGTATTCCAGCTCATCATATATTCACATATATGATATACATATATTTATATATATATACACGCACGCACGCACGCACATACATATATATAATGAACTAGAATATTCTATTACGTGTGTGTATATATATGCATGAAAATGTATGCATATATGTCATGTCATTCACGTGGCTATCTGGCCGTTTGGGCATTTGCATTGCTGTACAATCTTACTCGAAACATATCTATCTTCAGTCTTTATAATATATTCTGTCACCTTCATGCCAGTCCATTTCTTTATATCATTTGTCCAGTCATTCCGAGGTCTGCCTCTAGATCTGTTTCTTCCCATGCATGTTGGTGTATGCTAGGATAGCTTGTCTTCTGGACACATGTTCAAACCACTGCAGTTTTCTTCTTGCCGTTTCAGATAGTCTTTCTTCTCTTCCAACATGTCTCTCAATTTCTTTCATCACAAATTCGTTGGTCTTTCGATCCTTCCATTGAATGTTTAGCAATCTATTGTAGCATTTCATTTCAAAGGCTGTTATTCTTCGCTCTATACTTGACGAGTAGGTCCATGCTTCGCATCCGTGAAATACTACTAACACTTCCACTGACCTCACCAGGCTTATTTTGGTCTTCAGGACAATATTTTTGCTGTTCCGTAGGTTATTCGGCTTTGTCAATTGTGCCGTTGCCATCGCTTCCATTTCGCAAGTTACTTCATAATTAATCAGTGCTCCAAGGTGGTAAAAAACCCACAATACAAGAACTAAATTTAAAGTGAGACTACCTGGATTCCATCTTTAGGTCTGAAGAGGAAAGGGAGAGGAGAGGGTATAAAAAAGAGAGAGGCGAGGCAATAGGGGCAGGTAGACAGACGAACGGAAGCGAAGGGAGTGCTGCCACAATCACCTGGCAAGAGAGGCTTGATCACTCTTGTTAAAGCTACAATCCCCTGCTCCGCAATAGCCGATGCACCGCACGGTGGAGACGATGTTGAATCTCTTGCCGTCGAGATTCACCTGGTCAGGGGGCCCCACAAACACTGCCCAGGCTGTAGAAGCTTAGATATCAGCCAGGTCTGTGCTTCTGCTGCACACGACCGAGTGATCATAGTGGGAGACTTCAACGCACACCATCCCATCCTGTCTCCATGTCGGGCATCGGATCCATTAAATAATATTAGCAACAGTTGTATGTTTGCTGCTTCATCCGAAACTTGCTTTGGGCGGGAAACACGTCTCTGTCCACAGAGGATCCTCACGTCTCTTTCTAAACCCGTCATTCCTGCAGGAGAATATACCACTTCCGCCACGACCCTTGTTTTTCTAAAACAAAAACCTGGTGGAAGGCCCAAATCTCATGGCCTTGCTATATCTCTGTGTGAGGATATATAAATACTTGAAGCAGATGCATATCCATCATATATTTTCGACAACCATTTAGCTGAGACCGTCTCTGCTCTTCTGCAATCAATATCAATTTCGCTGTTGTAAGTAAAAATTGCTAGTATTCATCTGTTTAGCAAAGTGGTTTGAAGTTTTTGTTTCCCATGGGATAAGAATAAGAACGAAATATATCACACAGTTCTAGAAGCCATCTAGCATCGGTGAACCTCCTTTTTCTTTAATTCCTCAGGTGGTGTTGTCCGGCCTGATGGCCGCCGTGGCAGGCGCCCCTCAGTTCACTCGACCCAACTTTCCGGATCGACCTTTCGTCGCCATCCTGAGGGACGACCGACAGGATCTGGGCGACGGAGCCTTCAGCTACGGCTTCGAAGCCGCCAACGGAATCGGTGAGTCCCGCGTAGGCTACCCCGGATCCAAGAGACAGACCAACATGCAGGGATTCTACAAGTAAGGCGTGTGTGGGTTTTTCATACAGAATATCGAAATCTAATATTCACTGAAAGATAAAACTTGAAAGTCTTGCCTGCCACAGCCTTACTGTTATTTCCATTCATTTCCCATAGGTTCCTCCTCGACGACGGCACCTTCGCCGAGGTTCGCTTCGTCGCCGACGAGTTCGGATTCCGCGCTGAATCCCCCCTCCTTCCCATCCCCTCCCCGCCCACGCCGTCGAGTAGATTCGCGTCGCCGAGGAGCAGCGACGTCGCGGAATTCAGTTCTGAAGAGATCGTACAAGTTGTCCGCTCCATAAATCGATCACGAAAATTTTGATGTACAATTTGGATTTTGGCCTATATTCACTGATAAAGCGATATAAAAAATAAAGCAGCTCAGTTTCCCCAGCCCTACCTTATGAAAAACTACAATATCATATATAATTCTAAGACACTTTTCTATAGAACTTTAGTTTTATAGAAATATAAACCAGCCTGACGTAACTGTAAGGAACCTAGCCTAAGGTTGAATACGTTAAATAAACTGACCAGACTTTCAGTAGGATATGAATTATGGGAAGCGATGTATAGCGAGCGTTTGCCAGTTTCACTTTTTGCCCTTCAGTGGTACAGGTTTGTGTGTTTTATGTATGTCTCTGTGTGTACACATACTAATTATCATGCACACACACATATAGAGAGGTAGAACGATATTCAGATATATGTATACATGACTGTACATAAATATACATTCATATGTATACATACAGATATATATATATATATCCGTACATATAGATATGTATATGTATGTATATGTATATACATATATATACATATAATATACATATAATATACACATATATGTATGCATATATATTTATATGTGTGTGTGTGTGTATGTGCGTATGTCTATATATATGTATATATATAGACATAGACATTATGTATATATATGTATATATATATATTGTATGAATATATACACACATATATGTGTGTACACACACACACACACAAATAAGTATATATATATAGATAGATATATGTATAAATACACATATATTAGTGTGTGTATATAGATGTATGCATACATACATATCTATATCTTTCTATCTGTATAACACATACATATACATATGCATATATAAATAATATATATGTACATGTATGTATATATGTATATATATATATATATATATATATATATATATATATATATATATATATATATAGATATGTGTGCTTGTGTGGTGTGTGTGTATGTGTGTGTGAGTGAGCGTGTGTGCGCCTGTATTATTAATATCGCACATGAAAATAATATAACACTTTTGTTCAGGTATCTAATCGACGGAAAAAAAATGCAAAGACAAAAATATATTACCTTGAGGTAAGCTGAAACTGACATCAACGACCCAACCCAATAGGTTAATCAAAATCCAATGAATAGATTAAGAGAATAGCCAAGTCTAAAGTACTATGAAAGTCAAACCTAATCAACTGAACTTCACTTTCCGAATCATATAACTTTGAAGTAGTCAGAAGAAAGTTATCCTGTAGATAAGGAAAAAATACTTTCAATTAAAACCACCAATCGTTTTTAACACTCGCCGAAAGACTAACATGTGACTAGAAAACACCGGACAGTTATTGTGTGTGTACATATATAAGCATCGATATGTGTGTGTATATACATGTATGAGAATGACTGTAAATCTGCGATTTGCTGATGACATTGGCTTACTGGGAGGTTTTAATGAAGAATTAGGTCATCTGAATAACCCGATAGATGTGGATGTATACACACATGGTGTATTTATTTGTACATATATATATATGCAAACACACAGATTCACATAAATCGTATAAATCAAGCTTGGGATTGATGCGTCACCTGGCTTAAACCTGAGCTTGACCAGCCCAATTTTTCTTTTTTTTCAGGAAAAAAGTCACAGCTTAAGTTGTCAACAGATGGGCGATATATTTTGAAACGACATTCACACATTTTGTTTTCGCTCCAATTACCTGATAGGTTTGAATCTAAACTTTTTTTTTTGTTTAAATAATACAGGAAAATGTACAATATAGTGTCTATTCACAGCTACAGAGAGAGAAAAAAAGTAAGCTCTAAAATACTGAGAGACGATATATATATTTTTCTCTTATTCTCGCAAACATGCACTTAACAGGTTTATTATCACTGGGGGCAGTTGGTGGTGACTGACGACAGGTTGACAGATTGATAAGGATAATTATCTAATAACTGACGGGCTAGTGATGGTAATAACTCTTTATGACAAGCTTATTAAGAGAAATACAGTGACATTATCGTAATGTGTTCCATTCAACCAGCCACCATCAACGAGATTTGATACACGGTAATTTTGATCAGTTAAAAGATCAAGAATAATCTTGCATCATGCATATGTTGCATGGTGGATAATTAGTTTCGATGCAATTTCATGCTCGGTTGTCGTTATTAAGATTTCAAGATCAACATCAGTGGTGTTATGGATATGATAAATGTTCCAAGAAACAAAACAGCGGACGCGATGAGCTCTTTTAATTCCGGATCTCAAATACATAATTCATTATTTGCAGTGGCCTTC